GAGGCTTTTGATCACTTTGGTGATTTTTTCTTTTCTTTTCTCTTTGCTTTGTGAAAGACGGGGCTGGAAGGTGGAAAGTGACTTTTTTTATATAGGCTACATAGCTCACATATGCAGTCATTGCTGGAGAAATACAAAGCAGCCAAAGATAGCTAGGCCGAGATTGGCAAATTGCCTGGAACGTACAGGTAGCTCAGTTCCCAGGTGGGCAATTTGCCCAGATCTTTGAAGATGGCTCAATTCCCAGTTTCACCAAGGGACTCAAAATTCAAACTAGCTGCACTCTGTACATGCTCTTAATCCATATTTGGATTAAAGCAGAGAATTGACACTAAAATTTGACTCCATCTGGAGGATTTACAACAAGAATGTGAAGAATGCATGGCTATTGCCAGCACAACACGTAAAATCATGAAAGGTATACGGTTGACTTTGCAAATAACTTTTTCTTCTAATTTTTGGCAAGTACAATGAAGTGCAAATGGTGGAGTTATGTAAATCTAATTTTTAATTTTATTTTCAGAAGAACTTATTTCTTCAATGTCCTTTACCTGACTATGTAAGCTGTATTGTTTGCCTAAAGAACTTTGGCTGGCTTGCTTAATGACTTCTTCCTGTCCTGTCCTTACAAGGATCGTCATGATGATACCTGGAAAGTGTCCTGCTATTTTAACTTTCAAAACTTTTTCTCCACAGCTTTTTGATGTCGTCTCTGACTCTCATTATGTGTGTTAACTTACTTTTAATCTTCCAGGTGCTTATATTACACCAGGATTGTCTTTAATCTTATGACCTTATTTTAAATTTTGCAACAGCTACTACGAGACCAAAGATATTTCTTACATACGTAGTCACTTGCCTCTTTCTGGGCCTCTTTCTTAAGGCTATAGCTTTGCTGATTTTTTTTCCACTGTTTTTTCCATCAGAGACCTGGCATAAGCTTGCCATATTCCACTTAATCAAGCCAAGCAGATTGTTTCATCATCAACTTTGGCAAATGGATGTTACCTACTAGGCAAGCCCTCTTTTTTACAACATATTTGGCTTTTTTTGCAATTTTGTTCAACCTGGAATATAGCCATAATGGAACATGCTCATCAGTCATTTAAGGCCTGCCTCCACAAATAAATAAAAAAGAGGGAAAGGGTCTCTAAAGAAGTTTAAAAAGTATTATTTACCTTAACTCAATTGAATGCAATTTAATGTTTCCATTTACCTTAAATTAATTGAATGTACCTTAAATTAATTGAAAGTTTTTATTCAAGTTAACTATTTGAGGGCGAGGGGGCAGGGCTATGTTGTTGTGTTTGCTCCTACAGCAGGGGTCCCCAACCACCGGTCCACGGACCAGTACCGGTCCGCGGAACAACTCCTACCGGCCGCTGGCTTGCTGGGCGCCACCATCTTTTTTTGATGAAAAGTGCTTCCGGTGAGCTTTTCTGGGTAGAAAGCTCACCGGAAGCACTTTTTCATCAAAAAAAGATGGCGGCGCCAGTGCTTCCGATGAGCTTTTCCGGGTAGAAAGCCATTTCTACCCGGAAAAGCTCACCGGAAGCGCTGGCGCCATCTTTTTTTGATGAAAACGTGCTTCCGGTGAGGTCACCGGAAGCACTTTTTCATCAAAAAAAGATGGCGGCACCCAGCTGATGCCGGTACCGGGCCGCGGCGCCCAGCTGATGCCGGTACCGGGCTGCGGCGTAAAAAAGGTTGGGGATCACTGTCCTACAGGACCTTTGTGGATTCCAGCTTGTTGTGCCCGCCCAGCCAAGGATGTTGTGGCACCAATCCCCGGATCCAATCCCAGGAATTTGACTTTACAGATGGCACAGTGTCCAATCCGGGCTCATTTGTTTATGCTTGATTGTTTACAGCTGTCCTTTGGCATCAATGGCTGTCATTTCACTCAAACACTCACTTGAGCAACGAATGAAGTAAAACTTATGGGTGCAATTGACTAACATCACACAGAATAATGTCTTTTGATTATCTGAAACTTATGATATGGAACATTTGCTTTCTACATGTTTCCTGTCTGCACTCCTTCTGCAGTAATTCAAAACTTCAGGATTTGCTGCCTATTATGCAATTGCTTTACACACCTCAATGGTAGCAGTCCCTGTAAATATAACTTGTGCAAAAGTTATATACTTGTGCAAAAGTTATATACTTATATACTTATACTTGTGCAAAATTGTACATTTTCAAGAAAAAAACCTCACTGTCATCGCATTAGCTTACCTACTCTGAACTGCACAGCTTTTGAAGAGACTTTCTTTAACTTTGCTCATGTTTGGCTACCGCAAGGATGGTTTTTTACATGTGGTCAAGAAACTTTTAATTATATTCCTGCTAATATTAGTGAAGTGCAATTCTGCCTCAGCTAGCCGATTCCTGTTTTGCTTTCTAAACAACAAATTCATCATTCAAATCGTTCTCAACGTGGGGTTACACTAGATACACCTGTGACTCTGAAACAACCTTACTTAATAAAGTAGAATACGTAGTGCTAGCTTTGTCTATAGTGGGAGTGCCAGCAATTGCTGCTCGCGCTCACCTTAACATTAACTCTGTGGCATGTAATTTAGCAGAAACAATTATGTAATTTAGCAAAAATAATTAATGTTACTTCTTCAGGTATCTCAACAACCACAAGATGCAAGCGTTGAGGAAGGCTATTCTGCAAAATCTATATTGTTTTAATTTGTTTGATGGGTCACGAACCATCCAGCACCAGCTTAATATTTTGCACAATTGGGCCTTGGATTTGAAAATTGATAAATTAGGATCCTGGTGGAAAAGCTTTTGGGCTTGATTGCCCACAGGCTTAATGGGACAATTTTTACACTATGTAGTCATTATTTGTGCTTTAATTAGTGGGTGCTGCTTTGTTCAATGTCTCCCTTCTCTTTGCAACATACGTATCACAGCTTTTCACCCTAAACCTTCTCCTACATGCCTCAGGGTCAGGTATATGCCCTGTATAAACAACTGCAAGTGTGCTCTTCTACTGATTATTATGGGTCCCTTACTAAACTCTTCTTATGACTATCCTTTGTCTAACAAAATAAGAGTGAAATGTAGTAGCAATTGAGATCCTGTAGCGGCACACCGCAGCGTCCTAGACCTATAGGGGCCTCTTGGCTACTGGCATGATCTCATTCCCTATATCTTGGTGAAGGTGGAAACTCCTAGACTTTCCGGACTTATAGGCGACCTCATTTTACTAACACCACCACTATTCCTAAGGATTGGTTGGGAGGTTGTATCAATGTGGTATCTATTCTCCAACCAGATGCTGTATCTATGTTGCCTTTGTCTTCTTGTAAAAACGCTATAAATGTAATAAACACTGCCCAGGCAGTCAGACATCTTGGCACCCTGCACAATGACTGATCTTTGAAATCCATCATGTCATAAAAAACGGCGGGGGAAACAATTTTCCAAAGACCCGAAGGCCAGAGAAGAAATTATGGTGCACACTGATCAAGGAAAGATTCAAACTAGAAATAAGGAGAATTTTAAGACAGTCAGAACAATCAACCAATGGAACAGCTTGCCTTAAAAAGCTGTGTGAACTTTGTATGAAAACTGTCTGCAATCTGGGTGTTTGATGCCCCTACGTGTAACCTTGTATGATTTATAAGGCTAGACCTATAACTGAAATTGTTCTCAAAATAGGGACATTCATAAGGTTTTTCTCCTGTGTAAGTCCTCCGGTGTCTCATCAAATGGGAATTCCAACTGAAACTTTTCCCACATTCAAGACATTCATATGGTTTTACTCTCGTGTGAGTCCTCTGATGTATCACATGCTTAGAATTCTGCAGGAAAGTTTTCCCACAATCCAGACACTGATGTAGTTTTTCTCCAGTGTGAGTTTTCTGGTATATCATCAGGTTCAAATTGTGATGTCTCGCCTGGTGGTTGTTTGGTTCAAGTCATTCTTTCCTTCCTCAAGGGCTTTAATTAATGCCTGCCAATTTTGGCTGTACATGGAACCTTTTTTTCCTACTGACTTCAACTTGTTCCTCACTTTTTCTTTACTTAAATATTATCCTCCTTGATTTCTCATTTAATTTTTTTGTCTGTTCCGGGTGCTCCATTTTTTCCAGCTCAAAACTTTGTACTTGTTAATCTTTCTCTCGTCTCTCAACTGCTGAGGAAGAAGAGTTTTTAAACGTTCCAGAGGAACTGGAAAATATTTTGTATAATGGCTTATTTTGCACTTTAAGGCTGCTTCTCATTCTCTGTTGTCCAGTGTGCTCTTCTTGGCATTCTCCCTCTCTGTAAGATTAATATAAATGGATTAGTTTCATTATTGTTTAAATTGGCTGCAGGACATGTGAAAACAGCAAAACAAATCCCAAATATGAGCATGAAAAAACAAGCATTAAATTCTATTTTAACTAATATTAATAATGATTGATTTGGCATACACAAGGCCTAACAAGATCCAAGTCCAAATATTGATGCCATCATAATATTCTCTTTTTCAATCAATCAGAATAGAGTTGAAAGGGACCTTGGACGTCTTCTAGTCCAGCTCCCTCCTCAAGAAAATGTATGGTGTAATATTACACTATAATACTACAAGAATCACCTTTTTGGAATCCCCAGACCATCCAAATGCCATCAAACTTGATAGAAGTGTGCTGCATTTGCAGGGTAAGTCCATGTTAAACGGTGAGGTTTTGCATTTTTGAAACTCACTTTCTTTGGCCCAGAAATGGCAGTTCCCCTTGACTCCGTGAATGGGACCTACTGCACTGGGCCAAAGAAAGGAAGCTCAGATGAGATTAGAGAAAGGAAAGAAAAAGGAAGAAGAAAGGAAACTCAGATGAGATCAGAGAAAGGAAAGAAAAAGGAAGAAGAAAGAGAAAGGAAGCTCAGATGAGTATAGAAAGGAAAGAAAAAGGAAGAAGAGAAAGAAAGCTCAGATGAGAGTATAGAAAGGAAGGAAAAAGAAAGGAAGCCGAGATCAAAGTCTTACAGGATAAAACATAAGAAGAGTGGTTACAAGAATTCGGCATGGCTAGTCTAGTGAAGACAAGAACCAGGTCTGACGTGATAGCAGTCATCCAATATTTGACAGGCTGTCATAAAAGAAAGGGGGGAAAAACAATTTTCCAAAGACCCGAAGGCCACAGAATAAACTATAGGTGCAGACTATGCAAAGAAAGATTCCAACTAGAAATAAGGAGAATTTTAAGACAGTCAGCAAAATCAACCAATGGAAAAGCTTGTCTTAAAAAGTTGTGTGAACATTGTATGAAAACTGTCTGCGATCTAGGCGTTTGAATGATTACTCCCCTATGTGTAACCTTATATGCTTTATAAGGCTGCACTTATAGCTGAAATATTTCCCACTGGGGACATTCATAAAATTTCTCTCCTGTGAGAGTCCTCTGATCTGGTGTATCACCAGCTTCGAATTCTGCTGGAAACTTTTCCCATAATCCGGACACTCATATGGTTTCTCACCTGTGTGAGTCCTCCGGTGCATCAACAGGTTCGAATTTTGACTGAACCTTTTCCCACAATCTGCACACTCATATGGTTTCTCTCCAGTGTGAGTCCTCTGGTGTATCAAAAGCTTAGAATTCTGCTGGAAACTTTTCCCACAATCCAGGCATTGATATGGTTTTTCTCCAGTGTGAGTTCTCTGGTGTATCATCAAGTTTGAATTCTGACTGAAACTTTTCCCACAATCTGGACAATGAAATGGTTTTACTCCTGTGTGAATTCTCTGATGTATTGCAAGCTTAGAACTCTGCTTGAAACCTTTTCCACAATCACTACATTTGTACGGTTTCTCTCCTGTGTGTGTCCTGTGGTGTTCCACCAGCTGGGAATTCTGCCTGAAACTTTTCCCACAATCCAGGCACTCATATGGTTTTTCTCCTGTGTGTGTCCTGTGGTGTTCCACCAGCTGGGAATTCCGACTGAAACATTTCCCACAATCCGGACACTCATATGGTTTTTCTCCAGTGTGAGTCCTGTGGTGTACTTCCAATTCGGAATTCTGCCTGAAACTTTTCCCACAATCCAGGCACTCATATGGTTTTTCTCCTGTGTGCGTCCTCTGGTGTTTCACGAGGTAGGAACTCTGACTGAAACTTTTTCCACAATCCAGGCACTGATACGGTTTTTCTCCTGTGTGAATTCTCTGATGTATCACCAGGTTGGAATTCAGACTGAAACTTTTCCCACACACAGGACATTTATACGGTTTCTCTCCTGTGTGTGTTGTCTGGTGTTCCACCAGGTGGGAATTTTGACTGAAGCTTTTCCCACAAACAGGACATTCAAAGAGTTTCTCACCAGTGTGAGTCCTCTTATGTTTCACCAGATTGGAATGAATGCTAAATCTTTTGCCACATTGGGAGCAATGGTAGGGCTTCTCTCCAGTATGCGTTCTTCCATGAATCATGAGGAAGCTTTTCCGAGAAAAGGTTTTGCCACACTCCAAACATTTGTATGGTTTTTCACTGGATGGATCCTGTTGTGTATGATCAGATGTGATCTGCAATCTGTGTTTTTCCCACATTAGGCACTCTGCGGGGGTTTTCCCAACACTGTTATGTTTGGATCCTTGAGGCAGAGAAAAATATTTCTGATCTCTTGCCTGGTGGTTATTTAATTCAAGCCACTCTTTCCTTCCTCAAAGGCTGTTATTAATGCCTGCCAATTTTGGCTACACATGGAACCTTTTTCTTCCTACTGACTTCAACTTGTTCCTCACTTTTTCTTTATTTAAATATCCTCCTTGATTTCTCATTTAATGTTTTTCTTCAGTTCTGTGTGCTCTATTTTTTCCAGCTCAAAACTTTGTACTTGTTACTCTTTCCCTTGTCTCTCATCTGCTGAGTTTTTAAACTTTCCAGTGGAACTGGAAAATATTTTGTATAATGGCTTACTTTGCACTATAATGCTGCTCCTCATTCTCTGTTGTCCAGTGTGCTCTTCTTGGCATCCACTTTCTCTGTAAGATTAATATAAATGGGTTAGTTTCATTATTGTTTAAATTGGCTGCAGGACATGTGAAAGTAGCAGAACCCCCCCCCCCCCTTGTCACATATATTAGCATGAAAAAAGAAACACAAAAATTCTATTTTAACCTCTAATATTAATTATGATTGATTTGGCATATAGAGACCTAACAAAATCCAAGTTCAAATATCAATGCCATCATAATATTCTCTTTTTCAAACAATCAGAATAGAGTTAAAAGGGATCTTGGATGTCTTCTAGTCCAGCTCCCTCAAGCCGTTGTATGGTATATGCATCACTCCTTCATGGTTACGAACATTCCCCCTGAAGACAGGCTGTAGCGGCAGTCTTTAATGGCTGCCTCGAAGAGAGGAAGCTATCCGGGAACTAAGTGTGTGCAGGAGCGGTGAGTGGTGAATGGTGTGTGGACTAGGCTAATATTCAGAATTTTAAAAGGTAACCATGGAAAATTGAAAAAAGAGCCCTCGTTAACAATTGTAGAAGCAGCAATTTGAAAGAAAGAGGAAAATTGGTAAAGGTAAAGAAATTGGATTTGGAAAAGGTATAAAGTTCTAAACGGAAGTGATATTACTCAGAAAAGATTTTTTGAGTATAACAGATTGAGAATTTGAATTGAATGACTATAGAGAAATTGGCATTTAATTAGTCATTGATTAAAATGCTGGAATTGACTATAATTTAAAGAAATAGTAGCTAATGATTATAAATTAACAGAGTTAATACAAGCTTTAAAAAAGTGGAAACAAAAAGGTGGAAAGTGAAAACTGATGTAAGACTGCCACCTAATGACAAAGGAAAATTCTTTTTTGACCCTATACAAAATTTTTGGTATAAATAAGGTGTGAATTTGAAATAAAATAAAAGGCTTTAATGAAATTATAACCCCAGAAAGTGGAATATTAAAATACTACAGTAAAAGAATTCATGAAGATGCTATTTTGGGACTGATTGGTAGACTTGGGATTGTCCGATAAAGAATTAAAAGGATTAATATTGGAAAATAAAGAATAATGGACATTGTTGGTAAAGATTAAAGTAAAAATAATGCTGGTGTTAATAATCTACAGGACAATTTGATTGGGTATAAACATCAAAGAAGATAAAGAGGAAATTAAACAAAATGAAAGAACTATGCAAGGAACTTAGATTGGAATTGGAAAGCGTGAAGCGAATGATAAAAGAAACTTGGAACTATAGAGCAGTGATCCCCAACCTTTTTGACGCCGCAGCCCGGTACCGGCATCAGCTGGGCGCCGCCATCTTTTTTTGATGAAAAAGTGCTTCCGGTGAGCTTTCTACCAGAAAAGCTCACCGGAAGTCAATGTGATGTCAATGTCAATGTCAATGATGACATTGACATTGTGATGTCAATGTCAATGATGACATCACAACTGTCCGAAACATCATCAGAAATTATCAAGCATCAACCATCTCCGCTGATGAAATACTTGACATTTCCCGCATTGACCGAGAGCTCAAAAATAGAGATGGCTCTGTGGCCCCACGCTTGTGCAGGGTCATTTGCAAAAATGAATCAAGCAAACGTAAATTCATTTATACTATAAACTCACTCGCCAAAACCAACACCATCCATAAGAACCTCCGTTGCCGCCCTGACCTAACCATACAGCAACGTGCCCGCTCCCGTGCACTCCGCATCGAACTCAAAAACCGTCTAGACAATGGAGAGAAGGACCTGTACATTGACTACCATGCTGACTGTATCAAAAGTAAACCACTCAACCCAATACTCAGCTTTTACCCTCAACCACAACCCTACCTCAACCCATCCACCATCACCCAAGACTAGGCACGCACGCCCCCAACTACCTCAATTCCAACTACTGCCGGCCTTAAATGCAAACTACTCAATGCAAGAAGCCTCGTGAATAAAATACCTGAATTTCTCTTCCTCCTAAATATGGCTAACTTCGACATTATATTTGTCTGTGAAACATGGCTCAATGCATCTCTCCCCGACTCCATTACCACAGTAAGAGACTATCATGTTTACAGATCAGATCGTGAAAATCGTCGAGGAGGTGGAGTTGCTATATTCTATAAAAAATCCTTACATCTAAAAAATATCCAAGTTACCCAGGAGTTTGCCCTTCCTGAAACCATCATCTGTGAACTATCCTCAAATATCACAATTCGATTCTTACTATGTTACAGAGCACCTGATTATGACATCGAACATGTAAACAAGCTAAATACATTACTAACATGGGCTGCATCCTGCCCATATCCTTTTATCCTTCTTGGTGATTTCAATCTACCTCATATTAACTGGACCCTAAATGATTGTACAACTGAAATCATACACACAACCTTCTACAATTCTATTACAAATCTGGGACTGGAACAACTAGTAACCAACAACACTAGACTAAACAACTGCCTCGATCTCATCTTCTGCAACAGTTTGAACCTAATCTACGGAATACAATCTAAAGAACCCTTTTCCAGTAGTGACCACAATATGATCGACTTTTGTCTCAACATACATCCACACAAAAATCACCACAATGATGTAATCCCCTATTGTAACTTCAAAAAAGGCAACTATGATCTTATAGACAACGATCTCTCATCCCTTGATTGGCAATCTCTATTCACTGGATGCAATACCGTTGAAGACCATTATAACATATTTTTACTTGAAGTCAAAAGAGTCATCAAACTATATGTACCAACAACAACTCCCAAAACAAAACAAAAAAGCAGATTACCCATATCAATAAGGAAACTTCAATCCAAAAAGAGATCACTCTGGCGGAAAAACAAATCTGGTCACGTTGCCAATTTCAAAAACCGATACAAAAATCTATGCCACCAGATAAAGACCGAATGCACCAATTATCACATTAAACAAGAGGAAAACCTTCTAAGCACCAATTCCACCCGCGCTTTTTACAATTTTGTAAACAACAAACTAAAAGACTCAAGGTCCATCCCTCCCTTGATAGGACCTGATGGTAAAGACTGCAATGACGACACCATTAAAGCCAACATCTTTAACACATTCTTCGGCTCAGTATTTGTAAACAGCAATGGATCATGCCCAATATTTCCTAGCCGTACCACAGATAACAACAATGATCTAATACATATCGATTTCACAGAAGACAATGTTGAAAAATCACTACGCAATCTAAAACCATCTCTATCTATTGGACCGGATGGAATATGTGCCTACTTCTTAAGAAAGCTATCCACTGCCATAGCCAAACCTCTAAGCATAATCTTTGAAAAATCTTTCAGGACCAGCTCCTTGCCTAAACTATGGTCACAAGCCACAGTCATCCCCATCTTCAAAAAGGGAGACCCAAGCCTAGTTGAAAACTACAGGCCAATCTCCTTATGCTGCGTCACCTGTAAAGTCATGGAATCAATTATTAACCAATCCATCATCCTTCACTTAGAGACAAATAACCTACTCTCCAATAAACAATTTGGTTTCAGGAAAAAACTATCCTGTAATCTGCAACTCTTACACTGCAAAAACATATGGACGACACAACTCGACCAGGGCAAAACAATAGACGCAATCTACATAGACTTCTGTAAAGCCTTTGATTCAGTGGTACACGACAAACTACTCCTAAAAATAAAATCCTATGGTATCTCTGGACAACTGAATAACTGGATAGAAGCATTCCTGTCAAACAGACAACAAATGGTCAAAATCGGGAGCGTCCTATCAAATCCAGTACCTGTCAATAGTGGTGTTCCCCAAGGCAGTGTTCTAGGACCAACTCTCTTCATACTCTACATAAACGACCTCTGTGATCATATTAAGAGCAATTGCGTTCTCTTCGCTGATGATGTAAAGCTGTTCAATACCACAGACAATACTGCTACCCTACAAAAAGATCTTGACTATGTATCCGAATGGTCAAACAAATGGCAACTTCAAATCTCAACAAATAAATGCTCTGTCTTACATATTGGCAAAAAAAATCAGAAAATAAAATACAAGCTGAATAGTCAAGATCTTGTTGATGACCCAAGCTCTGTAAAGGACCTTGGAATACTCACCTCTAATGATCTAAGTGCTAGAGCACACTGCAACTACATAGCCAAAAAGGCATTAAGAGTTGTTAACCTAATCCTACGTAGCTTTTTCTCTGGTAATATCACACTACTAACCAGAGCATACAAAACATTTGCTAGACCAATACTCGAATACAGTTCATCAGTCTGGAACCCACACTACGTATCTGATATTAGCACAATTGAGAAAGTCCAGAAATATTTCACAAGAAGAGTTCTCCACTCTTCTACTCGTTGTAGAATACCTTATGCCACCAGACTTGAAATTCTAGAACTAGAAAA